ACACGGGCCGCGACACGGGGATGCGGGGGACGGTCGTCACTCCGGAGACACGGCGATGTCGACGCGTCGTCGCCGTCGTGTCATGACACATCAAATGTCCGCTCGTGGCCGCATGAGACGAGGATCGCGCGGACCCGCGACGCCAAGGGCAGAACTGACCCGCGCGCCCATCGCTACCAATTGCAGCGACGTTACCGTCCCGTCGCCCGCCCAACGGTGACCATAGACGCGTCGGGGTAGACAGATGCGTCGCGATGCGCGACGGGAGGGGAGCGGTTGCGCATGAGCGTCGTGCACGAATGGCTACACTTTTTTTAATGAATTTAGGAACGCGCATTTCCCAGTGAGAAATGATTCGTCGATCGACGGTAATTCGCCGGTGTCGACGTCGATTCGACGTCGTTTCGACGTCGATCGACGAATTATTTCTTAGGCCGGTATTCATAGTCGATTCTTATTTCAAAATCATCTTAAGTATTGTCTTAAGAGGCTAATACGGCTCTGTGATTGGTTAAAAACACATTAAGAGTATATTTAAGACGATCTTAAATATAAGAACAGACTATGAATACCGGCCTTACTGGGTTATTGCTAGATTCAGGCTTAAGCCCGTATCAGACTACGGATTGAGATTGGGATTAGATTGAAATTTGACCAATCAGAGTAAAAGTTACTGCACTTGAGATTAGTAAACTTTACTGCGATTGGTTAAATTCCAATCTAATCCCAATCCCAATCCGTAGTCTGATACGGGCTTTAGATACTCCGTAGCCAATAGAATGTTCCATACAGCATCTTTGGATAAATTCCAGACGGTCTTGAGTATAAAATCCGACTATGAATACCGGTCTGCGTTTCGAAACATATTTTCTCTGAGAAATAATCGAAATAAAGACTTTCCAAAGCGAACACAGCGATCAACCGTTACCGAGGCAGAATGATAGCCGTTTACCCGTGAAAAACAACGGAGCAGGCACGGCGTACGTCTCATTATTCGTTAAACTTTTTTCAGTGTTTTTCAAGCCCGCGCGTCGCTCGGTACTTGTTTACGTTCGAGCCGCCGCGCCGCCGGCGACCGCTGCCGCGCGCGGTCAGAGGACGTTCTCGGCTCGCAGTATCGTTCGAGCCGCCGGCACGTATGCCACGGAGTGAAGTGCGCGATTATTTTCCGCGTAATTAAGCGACGCCTCAACTGCGCGATCGAGCCGATCGATTCCCTCTTTCGCTAATCGTGATACATCGCGTCGTGACTCGCGCAGTGCCGGCCGTAGTGACACCGCGCAGTGCCGCCATGTTGGATCCATTCGAGGAGCGCCGTGGACACGCAGCGAATCGGTCTCGTGTGCTGGTCGTCGCGTTTCACGGTACGCACAATCGCAGTAAGTTCACCATTGTCCAGTTTAACAATCGCGCGACGTAGAGTCGACCCTCGCGCGTCGGTGATCCTCCGAGACGCGTGAGTCCCGCGGAAATCCCGGTCGAAATCTCGCGCGCGGTCGGCGTCGCTGCGGCGGCGGCGTCGCTGCGGCGCCGTCGCATCCTCTGGCGCCAGGAGTACACCGGGTTCTCCAATTTTAATTCGTATCTCCTCGCGCGTGCAGTGACATCCGAGTTTTCCACGCGCGATGCGCGGCGAGAGAGACGTTCGCGCGAAATCGCCCCTGTCGAGCGCGACGCGCGTCAAGGTAGCCTCGCGCATCTCCGCGAGTGCCTTCCCGCCAGAACGTTCCTGTCTTCTCGCGCGACGCCAGATTCGGCTCGTATCTCCGCACGCGATCGTCTCTCGTTCCAGTTGTAGTCACGTCCGCGTCGATTAGTGTCGGGAGTGTCGTGTCGTGCGTTACTTCGGTAACTAGCTCCTGTTTCGCGAGTGTCGCGTTGTGTCGCGTTGTGTCAGTGCGAAATGGAGGAGTCTGAGAGGAGGCAGCGGTCTGGGAGGCATCGGGCACCGGCGGAGCAACTTTAAGGTATATATTTTTTATTTCATACAAAGTTAACCTTGCTCTTGTTTATTTTAAATAATTAAAAAATGATTAATATGAATTTTGCAATTTTGTGTTACAGACTCGTCGTAGTGAAACTCCGCTGCTGCGCATCGTCGGTGAGTACGAAACTTTTTTTATTGAGGCAACGAATGTACTTCCCGTAGATCGTAGAATAATATATCTTGTACATTCGTTGCCTCGAAATGGATAGATCGCAACATAATTTTATATTCCATTTAGAGGAATGCGGATCCCCGGAAGCAGTGGTTTCGGCGTGAGTACGCGACGTCGATTCGCGACATTAACTAAAATATTACAAGAAAAGATTCTATATATTTTTCTCAATAAATATTCTCCTATCAGTACTTGTATTTGTCATACTTTTGCCTGCTGACAAAAAGACAGTAAAGTGGACATGCAAGTAATGATAGCAGAATTAATCTTTGGATAAAAGTAAAATTATACGAGATACAATGATGTGAAAAACGATCGTCGTTAACTCGCTGCCGAAATCACCGCTATCGGGGGGCAATCCGGAAGATCCGAGATTCATTCCTTCCTGTAGCCATTGACGTTCAACGGGTTCTTGAATTTTCTTTCACATTCGTTTGATTTCATGGAGCTCTAGAAATCAGAATATATTGAGCTCATTTTCCATGTTAAGAATTATTGAACCACCTCGCAGAAATTGCGCGAATAAAGCGAATTATTTATTGACGTATTCGTCGAACTAATACACTTGTGACTAAAACACTTGCGATCTATCCATTTTTTATCAACTTATTGATGTGTAAAGTAGAAGAATATGACGAGAGATCCTGAATATTTTGTCAAGAACGCTGAAACATTTCAAATTATTCTTGTACAGTATTGAGTACCTAAAATATCCAATTACAATATCAGTATCTATGGTGCAAAAAGGTTCTTTAACTCTGGATCTCACGTCATTCATTCTGTATATTTATTTCGCGATACACCTTTAAGATGCGTCTCGCATGATCAACGTGCACAATCATACGCATCTTCATACATCCGCGATCGGTTTTCGCGTTCGAGTTTCGCGATCGGTTTTTAGAAACATTTCCATGATATTAGTACTTTCGTGATTTCATCCATATTAGAAATGTTAATTTATCGCGGAATATAGTTAAAATTAATATAACGCGAAGTAAAATGTTGTCTGCGTATAGACTTAAATTTTGAATTGAAAGATCGAGTCACGAAGAGAGACGGTCAATACACTCGAGTAAATAACGGAAGTAGAAATAGATTTGATTAGTTTTATGCAGTAAATGTTTTCGACTTAAAATTCTTTTTTAATTAACTTCTCGTAGTCGTGTATTTTTCGATACGATCGACGCTCGCGTTAAATTCAAATCGTACGTAACATCTGTCGGCGACGATAACAAACCGACTATGGAAGGAGTTTTCTTCCTTCCTGATATCTGGTCAAAATGACCAGACTGTATGGCCAGGAGCAACAAAAGGTATGTCCACTCTGGCCCAACGAGGGAAGTGGTCAATATTGGCCACTGTGATGGAGTGGTGTAAATAAGGCGATAAACGAAATAATTTGATTTCTTTGCATCCGGGTGGGTTATTCTTCTTTATACATATATTCTCGTATATGTGCGAGATTGATAAGATTTAAATCCTAATCGCGCACGCATTACAGTCCCAACTCGGACCTTTTATAAATCGCGTCGCGGTTTTAATAAAAGACTTCTAAGTCTATTAAAAGTTGGGACACGGTTAAGTAGGAAAATGGATAGGACTGTACATCGGAATTTGCGTAGGTAGGGATTCGGATAGGCAGGGGCAGGGAGACATAACTCGATAAGAAGATAGATAAAATTGTAACTGCAATGTAATAAGAATAAAATAATATAGTATGTAAGTAAAGTAATGTACAAAATAATTGATTTCTTTTATTTGTTAAAATTTGGGTGGGTTATTCTTCTTTATATGTATATTCTTGCATGTGTGCGAGATTGAGAAGACTCCTATTACTCGGGGGAAAAAAAGACAATTAAGCCACTTATTTTCGGGCCCACAATTAGTGATCGTCGATTACTGAATATCAATAGAACTAATTGAGAGAATTGATTAGTATTACTTAAAAATCCTGGATATACCTAGATAGAATAGCTAATTGCGATTTTTAGTTACGCGGAGTAAAATTCGTAAAAGATTAGAGTTACGAACAATCAAATAATTCGATTACTAATTGTAGACCCCAAAATGGGTTGCTTGACTGTCTTTTTTTTCTCGGAGTAAATCCCAATCGCATGCGTATTATAATCCCAAATCGAACCTTTTATAAATCGCGTCGCGGTTTTAATAAACGACTTTTAGGTCTAGTCTCTCTCTTCTCTCTCTCTCTTAATTAAGTTAAAACACGAGTAGGTAGGAAAATGATCTTTTTGGTCGCAAATACATACATTGAATAAAATGAGAAATTTTTAAATATTATCCTATAATTATTTTAAAAAATTTCATAAATGAATGCAATAGGCACATATTTTACATTGCAAGAATTGTATGTTGTTATACGGAATATTTCATATGTGTATGTAATTACGAAAGAAATGGTATTGTATTGTATATTAAATTTTTAATTTTATAATGCAATTATTTCTTTTATAATATTGTATACATTGCAAAGTAAATTATAAAAAATTTATATTATTTTAAAAATGAAATAAATAATAAAAATGCAAAACTCAAATTGCAAATCAAAGAGGACCACCGTCGATTGAAATCGGCGGGGGTGGTGGAGGGCTTCTATAGATCGATTTGTTTTTAATTCCAATAAAATTTTAATCGATAGATTTTTTATTGCAAATGATCAATAGATTCCTTTACAATTTAATTTTTCGTTTGCATATTAATAAAATAATGTTACATAATAGGCACAGTTACATATGTAGCTTCGTGTAACATTATTGTTGATGTCTATTTCGATTGGAAAAAGCAATATGCTGCGTCTAATGTACGAAAGGGTAATTAAAAAAATAATTGTGCTTGATTTTATCAAGCTAGTCCTGTGCAATCGTAGCGGTAGCCGATACCGTTTGATAACGTGACAGTTCCATCAGGTGAACTTCGTGAGATTGTAGTATCACTTTTACGACTTTTTCACAGGTCGGTCAACGGTCTATTAGCCGGGTTGATAATAATCGGCAGGAATCGCAATTGTTTCTTCTGCATCAAAGTCTTTTGAATTAACTATTATAATTTAAATTAATTAATTAATTAAATTAACTTTCGTAACTATGTAAAAGGCGAGTGAAAAACTCAATGCGCGGCGTAATAAGTTCTTAAAATATTAATTTTTCTGAGAACTTTTCCCTTATTCGTCTCACATTCCATTGTGATAGGTCACTTTCGTAAATCTTGCGTCTTAAAGATCTCATTGTAGACGCCGCATAACAACGTGAAAAAGATACTACAACTCCGCTGCTGCGCCGCACCGGTGAGAGTTTATTACAAATGTGTAAAAAATTACTTACATTCATCCAGTGACGGAATCCTGCCGTTGCAAATTGTTGCACGACATTCCGTAGCAAATTGAAGGCAAATAAATGGAAAATACGTGGAGAGAGGATTCGCAAAATCGAGAAACATCGCACGGTTTATAAAATCTCTTTGTTTCTTTTTATTGATGCTTTGACAACATGGGCTGAGACACACACATTTGCTCATAGTTCATATGAATTTAACCGCTGCGTGTTCAAACGTATACGTACACAATCCATTAAATAATCGTGCCGCGCCGACCGATGTGCGCCATCGTGTACAACTCAATTTCGGGCTTATGTAAATCACACACGTATAAAATTCGTCGATGCGAATCGGTCGCCCGGTAAAACGGCACGCGGGTCCCCGCAATTTTCCGTTTCAAATCGCAGAGCCAGGTGAAGGAGGGGAGTGGGGGGGGGGGAGGTGGTACTAACCGAACACCCTCGAAATAAATCATTAGTCGTATCACGCGCCATACACGGGCCGGTGTCGCGAAACGTCGACGTTCACGCGCGATAACGCACCTCGGCACACGCAGATTGATAGAGTATCGATTCTCGGTCGTGTGATCGCTACACTTGTGATATATCGTGCGAGCAATAACAATCGCACTACAGGAAGATTGTTCCATTAATCCTGGACACGGGTAATAAAACTCACGTAGATCTCACGATGAAGCTCACATGCGCGATTATTATTTATCGCTTATTTTGTTATTCTTAACGGGTAAAGGCTCAAACACGCGAAAACACTTGAGCGGTAAGACTGAAGACTTGAGGAAAGTGACCAATGAGAGCAAAGAATGTAAGCAGCCGTTTTGAAACTTGAACGAAACTTGAAAGCAACGCTGAAAATTCCGATTGGTTGAGATTCTCAAGTCGTAAGTCTGACTGATTAAGCTTTTGCGCGTGTCTCCTGCTTAACGGAGTTACCGCAGAATCGGCGCAGAAAAGTGATATAAAAAGATATTATATGAAAGCACTTGCGATTATTTCTCCACGACAATTTTTGGAGGGACGAGGAGCGGTGGCATTTACATTTTACATGAAAGTCGCGTGTATCAACTTTGCGAAAATTCAGCTTTACATCGCCGTGCGATTCGATATTGATTTCCGAAATTTTGCGGCATGGTCGTTCAATTATTTTCGTTTCATTAGAAATACGATCTTTTCGTATTATTTAGTTTACATCGTATTTAATTGCAGGAAATTTGCATTGTGACACATTCTCTTAGCTAATCGAAAATCAAAGGGAACATCGTTGAAGATGCCGTTATTCTACTTTCGCGAATAACTAACAATAAGTTAATTTAATCCTAACTGCAGTCACTCGGCGATGGTTTGCGTAGATAAAATAACGGCATTTTCATAGGAATGAAGCGAGCGGTGCCTTTTTACACTCGTCACATCGTCTGTCCAAGATTAATCCACAATACGTTTCCGCAATTCGTACGCGGGCGTCGACGCGCCCACGACAAGTGCCGGAGAGGACTGAAGCGAGAGATCGCAAACGATCGCGAACGTAGCGTTCCTTATCTTTATTGCCACGAGCGTCTCACGAACATTTAACGATGAAGATCTTACACATTGATCGTCTGAAACGAGGACGGGAGGCTCGCGAGGACCGAGGGCTTCGGCCGCCCGGCGAGTCTCGTTACGCGCGCGTAAACGCTCGTGTCGTCGAACGCGCGCGTAATTTGCGCAAAATTTGCGGATCTCCGAGGGCGTGTGTGTGTGTGTGTATGTGTGTGTGCATGTGAATGCGTGTGCGTATGTGTGTTTCGAAGGAGATACATCGCCTCGCGATAATCGCGCGCTCGTCGACACGCGCGCACGCGCGCATGTATGTACATAGATATCCGAGGAGATCCACATGGGTCGTAAGAATAGGTCGACAGGATAGACTCTTCTAATAGACTTTGCAGACGGACATAATAGAAATAGTTAATATATATATAGCATCATATATTAATATAATATTCAGTAATAATATAATATCTATTATATATTAATATGTATTGATATTTTTCCCCCTTTTTTTTCAATATAGTGCTTCTTCCCGCTCTCTTCTCAATTCTCCCGTTTTGTCTTGAGGTGTGATATCCAGCGATTTGCTTTAGATTTAGTGGATATGATGTGAAAAGTACGCGCGCGCGTCAGCCTTATTACACGTGCTTAATCGTCGAATATCATTCTGTGCCGCTAAAAAAAAATCTTTCCCCTTTGAACGTTTTCTGTGATCGCGCCTCAACCCTTTCGCTAAGCCCCCGGCAAGTAAGCGATTACATGCGCGTCCGAATTGGTAAGTGTCGGTAAATAAAATGAAGATGTAGTGAGATTTGTAAGACTTGTTAATCAAAGTGCTTTGCACGGTATGGTATTATATAAACAACGGATAAAAATTGCATTATTCATGACTTACAGATAACTCGCGAAAATTCGTATTGATTTATCGTCGTCGCTCTAATTGTAGGAGATTTTTAAAATCGTCCTTAAACCTCACGTTTTAACCTCGCGCTTTATATTATATTCTAAATACAAGTAAATTGTGCAAATTGATCATCTTGTGCAAACTGCGGTAAATTCGCGGAGCGTGGAAATTTATTCATTCGTTCTCGAATGTCTCCGGCACACAAACGAAACTGGCGAAAGGGTTGAAATTCGTAGAAACTTCTGGTAAACTATTTTCGCGCAGGATTACATCGAGGGACGCAGGGCAAGAGCCACTTTTACGAGAACGTGGAGAATCCGCGCTTCTTTATCTAATTGGAGTTTCGATTGTACTCCTTTCCATGAATTTCTTCTTAATTTTCTATTTCGCCCGTAACGTTTCCACTCAATCTCCGTATTCTCGTTTAAACAGCTCATCCTGTATACACTGAAAATAATAAAAAAACAACTTCGATGTATAGGTGCTTGTACGGTGCTCGAAATCAAGTGCGAACGTCCGATTGTGTGTGCATTTATCCTTTTCTTTTATAAACGAGATAAATAGTAACTTTTGTCGGCTGTGACGTTCTAAAAGCGAATTCGAGACTGATTTTTTTTACGTGCCCGTCTCTTCTTCCTACGAAAGGTACACCGACTCGAATTAAATCTGAAAATTAAAAAACGTGCTCAGAAAAAACGGCGTCCTTTACGTACGTACAATTTGTGTACGTAAAGTTTTTGTACGAGAGAGAGTATAATTTAAGGAGTCGTCATATTTCTATGTTATTTAACTATATCAGATATTCTTTTCATCCCACAACTTATTCAATAAAAAAATTACACAAGATAAACATAGTTAATGAATCGTGGAGTCTAATAAATAATAAATCATAATAATAAATTATTTATTTTACTTCATGGCATTAGTTATGATTATCTTATGAGTTCGATCTCTTTGCGAGCCTCCCCAGTTTATTTTAATTAAAAAGTTATAATGAGAGTAAATAAACAGAAAACTGTGTTTAAAATAAATTGATAAACTGCAACTTATTTTGCTTGCTTCTACAGAAATTTTACTTGCTTTTTAAATCATTTCTGATTTTAATATCGTTGACATAAATTTAGTTATTATTTGTCCATACATCGTTCAAAACGTTAAAGAAACATTAATAAGTTTAGTTGGAGAATGTTATATTAAATAATTGAAAACATTATAGCACAATTTATTAAAAGAACAGAAATTTGATGAAATAATAGCGACGATTTTCTCTTCTCAAAAATTTCATTCAGATGCATTTCAATTACACTCGATCAGATCAGATCAATATATCTGATAGTCGAGTAGAAATCGCACCATGTTTAATTATCGTCAGATAATCTTATCGGTAAAAGCGACGCCGTTTTTCCAATCTAAGTTTTTCCAATCGACTTTGATTCAGTTCTTTCAATGAAGAAACGCCATATTCTATTAGCGATAGTTCGCGGAACTTTTTAAATTGATGCTGTCACGCGTTTCAAGACCAGTTGCTTCAACGCAACTGCGCTTTATTTTAGTAAATAAAGACATGACATAAAATTTCTTAGGCAACAGTAATCAGAGAAGCAATTAGCCCATATTATCAGAAATAATATGTACCATTTGCTAATTTCATTTAAATATAGACGTTTGTCACGTTAAATATCCAACATATTGCGTTTGCGTAGTTAAAATTGCTTTTGCGTAGTTAAAATTATAAACATTTCTTAAAAATTTCCTAAAAGAATTTGGAGAACTCTTAATTTGCTGTAAATAAATCCGGACCAAGTTCTGCAGGAAGGAAACAATTAAAAGTATTTGATTTATCGACCGATTCCGTCTCTGCAGAAGTTGCTCCGACTCGCAAATGAAACTGTTGCAACTCATAAAGTGACAGTTTCTCGTTCTAATTCGATACAGCACATTAGAACGTTAGAACAAAAAATCACATTCATTTTCTCGCAAGGACTCTCATTCATGCTTCATTGAAGGGTCGCTTGTTCTTATATATATATATGTATATATATATATGTATATAATGGATATGAAACTTTTCTTTTTTGTTTTTGATCTTCGAATGAAAAACGTACGATTGAAAGTTTGAAACGGCAGGTGCGAAGGCAAGCGCTAATTAATTAAAGCTTCGGTCTACTATCGTACGTTGCTGTTAGAATCAGATTTGCCATCGAATACTCGAATTCTCAAAGGGCAACCGCATAATTAGTTATTCCAAGCTTTATGCGATCGGGACGAATTCCAACTATTTACTGATTAAAACAATTATCGAGCAGTAAGTTGGCTGTCTTTTAGGATACTTAATCTCAATCTGAGAAAACTAGATCGGATATTCAATTACGAATTGTAATCGCAATTTGATTTAGTTCTAATTTGCAATAGCTTTCGAAATTTATACGTCGGACAGCTGATTGTTATTATAAGAGTTTGCTGTGTTTGCTGGAATAACGGAATTATTATCGACCCGGATATTCGCAATTCAAGCATGCGGATACTCGGGAAATCCCATTTTGGAATAATTACCACAGCTGGAATATTGTTATTGAATATTCGAATTATACGTTGCACACTTCGAGTAATTTCGACGGTACTGGGTGGAATGCGTCCAGGAACCATATTTCCAAGTTGGATGCGTTGCAATTACAAAATCAGCACAACATGCTTGGACTTCCCGAGAAATTCTCCGCCTCCGTAGATTCCTGCGGGTTTACTTGCTATCTCGAAGAAACGGAGTACCGCGCTATACAAAACGTATTCAACGTACGAACACAAAAGCCTCAAGTCACTCAATGCATACTTACGCGAAATATTGTACATTGAATTACGCTAGAAAAAGTGCCTTTAATCCTCCCACGCGTTACACATCCCACGCGTGAAAAAAAAATTTTTTTAACAAAGGCGCTGGACGTACACTGTATATGTTGGACACAGATCATATAATGATGCGATTGTATAATTCGACCAATTTCTATTTAAAGAGCTGAAACACACGTTAAATCTCTCATTTCAATTTATGTATAATAAATTACTAGGACAAACGGAATTATTTCACACCGGAAACGGCAAGTCTCTTCGTCCGAAGGACTCACTTTTTGCTAATTCTTTGATTTTTCTTCTCGTCCGAACGTGAGAGGATTAATGAGAACGATAATTACTCTGCTAATTCTCGACGTACAATCAGTTAAATCGTATATTATTACATTTTCTACTACCGACTACCACCCATCTTTGATATATTATTATATTTAGTCCCGAAAATAACATCCGTACAAAATTGACTACAGCCGATTGCTTTTATGATGTGTGTCTGTGGGGTGTATGTGTGTGTGAGCGCGCGCACGCACGCACGTGTGTGCAAGTGTGTGTATGTGTTTTAGTAGGTCATTTTAAAATCATTTTCGTGCGATGACAAAGTGAAGTTCATCGATTACTCTATATGCCTTACGTTATTTCACCTCATTTCTTTTCGTTCATTTCTCTGTCTCACTTTTCTACTTCCTTCTCCCCTCGTCTCTTTCCTCAGGAGTGAGATAGGGTGTGTATACGTATTGACCTGGGATTTTCCGACCGGTAGTGCTAAATTGTGTTCATAGGATTGAGTGAAACGCTCTATGAAGATAAAAAAATATGCGACGATCTGCATAATAAAGATATCATTTGTTCTTCTTTTTTTTTATACGTATATGTAAAAGTGTCATTGTTATCCTCTCGTTTCCTCGCTTTCCTTCGTTGAACAAAATATTAATTATTCAATTTTGACTTTAATTGTCACTGAACAGAAAATTAAACATTAGCTAAGTCGCGGTGAAAATATTTCTGTTTAAAATGATAATTTGTTATTTTTACCATACAAAGTCATGAGATACAAATACTTCGTATACCGCGTATGTTATGATATTAAACCTTGCTTTTTTGCACTTTTGCTTTTTAAATGAATTTCAGAAACTCAATTTACGTTTTTCTCTCACGCGAATAAACGGACAATAATTTTAGTGATTTTAACGAAGATGAAAAGTGTCTTATTACTAACATAAAATGCAAGTTTTTCTTGCATAAGGAATATTGCTGTAATCATAGCCTTAAAATACCCTTAAGGTGTGGCGTTTATACGGACGAAATGGGTCAAAGATCCATATATTGCCTAAATTATTTGCAAAGTTTACCCAACACCGGATGAGATTGTTTACAAAGGACGCGAGCCCCGCATTGTCATCAGGATATGCGCTTTGCATTCTGAAGTTGCATTTTACGTATTATATACTCTCGTTGGAATAGACGGTGATACAAGTGTTGGTGTTTGGTCCATGGCATAGCTCTTTATCTCTCTCTTATTTTTATTAGTAGTTACTCGTATCAATCACAATATCAACGATATCGTCGTGGAACTAAAACTCGTGCTCGTAGTTGCGCTTGTGACTTAGCTGCTAGAAAAAGATCGTGATGATTCTTAAGATCATTAGAAAAGTTGCGGTACGCAATGATTCGTAGGAGCAGCGAGCACACACTGCCTGGACCGGCGCTAGACAGTTTTTTTTCCCCCCGGCATTACAATAGTGACGCGGTGTCGTTTTTGAGTTGCGAAATTTTGCTAGCGTACCAATCATGTAATTCTGCTGATTGCATTTTCTTTATAAAAGAAATTTCACATACATTATCATATTTTTATGAAGAATATAATTGTTCAAAGGAACGTAAGGTAAAAATGTGAATTAAAATTATAATAACGTTATTAAAAAAAAAATTTTTTTTAATATTTAAAAGAGAAACGTAAAGGCAGGAATCAGTTTTAGAAAGAATTAAAGCAGCGTACAGCAAAAACAAGTATAGAACGTTACGCAGACATAAACGTAATTAACTCTGCGAGAAAATTTTCATGTTTTTAAAGTAATATCCATCTCTCTCTCTCGTGCTTCTCTCCCTGAATTCCCCATTCGAATTCTCCCTCAATTGAGGCTTTATCGAGCGCCGATCCAGGCGCGCCCCGATTTTCTCGATAATTGCTGAATGCTTTGAACTCGTAAAGATCGAAGGTTATGACACCTCGTGTCGAAGATAACATCCGGTCGGAGGGAATAATCAAAATTGACGCGGAGGGGTTGCTTTTTCTACATACTTTTATCTTATTAGGCCGAAAGCCGTCTTCGAGACGCGCTCCGTCAAATTTTATATCCGGCCGGGCATTATCCTGGTGCAACGACTTCCCTTTCCTTTCTTCCTTATGGATGCTACGCACATTCTCGCGCGAATCTCAATCCTCTCATATCACGTTTGCGTAAAGTAAGCGTTGCTACAAGATTCCTTCTTGAATGAAGTCCTGATTTTGTAGAGCGTTAAACTAATGCACTCTCGTCGCTTCATTGACTCCACTATCGTCACGATAGACATTGTTATTACTAATAAATTTTATTACAAGTAGTAATCTAATTCGCGCGAATTTAATTACGAAACAATTTTCGAGAGAGGCGACTATTAATACGCAGCTATGGGTAAAGTTGAAATTATTAATAGTACGGTGTGGTTTAATCACGAGTGTCAGATAAGAAAGTTTTAGTTCGATTCGCTTTTCACTTTTCCTAGTCCGAGCGAAAATGAAACGTAATTGCTGCCAATTTTAATTTAATCAATTACCGTTTTAAATCACCTTTGACTCAATTTAAGAACAGACATGAGTAAAAGGTTATAATTTACCGCGGCACGAGCATTGACTTTTTTTTTTAGGAAACGATTGCAAAAATTTCCGCGGAATTTTAATTTGAATAATCTTCGCCTAACGTGATTTAAAGATAGTGCAATCATCATCAACTTTATTGTAATTCTGTAAAAGTGGGAAATACTGCAAATTTAACGATAAGAAACTTCTCTCGCGACTCTTGCGCGTAAAACAGCGCAGACATTACACAGCAATAATTGATAAATTTCACTTAATTAATAAATCGGATTAGTCTCTCTATTTTTTTCATTACAACGTTTACGCTCGCTTCGCGTCCTTTCGCTGGAATTTTAGTAACATCCTCGGTATTTAAATCTTAATTAGATAAAGAAATAAATTAAAAAGTACCAGCGACCGTGGGGCGAGGCGAAATTTTATCTTTTTAACCCAATCAAGAATTGCTTAGCGATAATTACTTACGAAGAATGGAAGTAGAAAAGCTGTCTTACTTGTTTAGTTTAATTGTACATCAAAGTATTATTTTACCGTGCACGATTGCGTTAACTTACTCCCAACCCTTATTAGCAGCGACATTTTTGTGAAAAATGGATATGTTACTTCGATATTTCGATTGTATATTTAATATTTTCCATATTCTCTTAGTTATCACTTCTTAATTATCATTTTAGTTGGTGTCGAAAATAATCTTACAAATTACACAAACGGTTGTGCTTAAAACCAGTTTCTCTCTCAGTTCTCGAGAAGCACGATCAAGTGGAGTAGTTGTGACTTTCGGGTAAATAAGACAATGCAATGAGCTTCGATATGACGAACGGTTGCAATCGTTTAACGACGTCATGAGGAAACGAACATCATTTTTAATGCCCCATAACTTTGTCGGAGAATCATTATCGTTGTCTCGTTTACGCGACGCTTTCGATCGAACCTTGTAAGGCCGGCCGAGCGTAAGGCTCGGCAGGAAGTCGCAGCGCCAAGGATTAATGCCGCGAGGCAAATTGATAGATATCTCCGCTCTGTATCTCGGATATCGCCCTAATATTTACAGTAAAGCCGCCTACCAGTCGATGGCCGCGCACGACGGTTGCCGACCCGCTCGATCTCCATCTTCTCGAGAGTTCCACCTGTGGAAGGATGAGTCTGTACAAAAATGATGAGCCGCGCGCAGGACATTACGCGCGGCCGCACGTGGATGCACGAGAGACACAGATGCACACTTTCCGCGGAGCACTATCTGCCGCGGCTATTTCACCGCGGTGCGATACGTTATCCTTAAATTTTCATATCCTAGCTTCGGGATGGACCCGACAACACCACCTGACGTCGGACGGCACGGATATCTCTCTTTCAGGGGATGCATGAGTGTGTGTTGGTTGCCTGTGCGGGCGAGGACAAAGCGACGGAGAAGTCCGAGTCCAGCACGAGGTCGCTGATGCAACCCACGATGCCTTTTGTGTATCTGCCTCCCGTTGTCCTCACGATATCCGGTGCACCGCCTTCGGAACAAATTGAATTTCCATGAAAAGACTCGTTTCTTTTTTCACACGAAGTTATATTTAATCCGAAAAACGCAGATGTAACTTTTTACCGCGTTTTATTATGCTATCGTGATTGTAATTTTACGAATACAGCGTAATTTTAAGGATCCTTGAAACAGTTAATTTGCGCAAGAATTAATTTCATCGGTAGCTTTATTTTTTACGGATGTAGAATTAATTCAGAGAGTCTTTTAAAAACGTATTGCCAACGATAGCTTGCGTTTTGAGATTAAATTTAAGCTTCCTGACGATGAGTTAGTAACAATATAAAGTTTGATTATTTACCAACGTAAAGACCGGTATCGGTGTTCAGTTGTCTCAGTTGCCCCGGAGAAGATGCTGAGACGCCAGTACCACTGTCTACCACGAGAGATGCCCATTGCTCGTTTCTAGAAAAAGTCAATGTTATTCATTGCTCTATGACCCATTTCGAACACAAACATTTTTCTTTTCTCCGGTTTTAATAAAAAGCGATTTGCTTTGGAAAGAGGTAGATACAGATATTTTTTACTCGCTCTCGGCAAAATATACGACAGTGCAGATTAATACGTGAATGTTTATAAAAATATTCCTTCTTCATGAAATTTCATGGAAATAGTACCATTTTAAATGGTAGCCTCAAGCCACGCGGCTATACGGAAAATTAAAAATAGAACAACATTTGCACGCAATACTCTACTTGCATGTATGTATAGAAACTACGTGTCTTCGGTCTAGCAATTTTTTAACAAATTTAGATATATTTTTTAATTAAATCATTAAAATTGAATTGTTCTAGAAATCGACACAGCTTTCTAATTTTTAACATTAGAAATATTTTCTTTTTTAAATAACCTAATTCGTAAATCTAACTAAATACGCGTGCATTCTATCTAGCATCTTGTTAACGAAACGTCAAGTTATGATCGTAAAAATAATAATTACTTCCTCTACATTTAAAAAGACATTGCACAGTATGTCTCTTCTCTCTTTATATATCGAACATATAAAGGGATATTAAATAAATAAATATGAAAATAGGCGCGCAAGCGGAAGGAAGGGTTGGGTAACGAAGCGCATAAAGCGTTTATTCTCACCTAACTGCCCTGATACGATGCCACAGATCGTCATCCAATCGCGTTAGATTATACCGTAGCACGGCTTCCCCGGAACCCAAATTATACGCGAGAGTGAGATAGCCATGATCCAGCCCGAGGGCGAGGAAGTCGTCGTTCTCGTCCCTTTGTTCCTGAGGATCCGACTGGCGGCCGCTCCACAGCAGCAGGCCGGAGCTGCTGCTGGCGCGGAATCGCATATTGATATCTACCCTATAGCTGATTATCCTGCAAATATCGACAAGGACGTATTAGAAAGATGGAAAAAGAAATGAGAAAAATAGAATAGAAATTAGAATCCTGCAAATATCGACAAGGGCGTAATAGAAAAATGGAAAAAGAAATGCAAAAGATAGAATGGAAAAAGAATTGCGAACGTGACGACGCACGCGCACGGGGAAAGGTCAATGGAGAAGAGAAATAATTAAATAATTCAACTTACATCAATTTTAACCGTTCATCAATTTAAATTGGTGTATAATTGATAAAATTAATTTTACGTTCTAATTTAGTTTATGTACCTAATTAGCGCGTATATTAACGCTCGCTCCATGAGTAATGCAGGAAAGAGACGCTGTTAAAGCACTGTTAGAAAATTATATAATCGCCTGGTAAAAAATAATTGGACAACCTTTACGCGTAAATTAAAGAGCGTTGCCTGACAAAATAAAAACTATTTTTTTTTCTCAGATCGCTCAGTCGTTACTTGTGCGTGGCGCGAACGCTCGATAAACTAACGCAGCGCTATTTAATCAGGTCAAGGAGCGATTGTGTAGTGCAACGTGTAACGCTGTTTACCGCCCCACTCGCCTTTCAAAAGCCGGCGACATGTCGCTTTGACATTTACCGAACTTTTGCGTGCTGCCGATTATTTCACGCTCGCATAAATAAAATGTTAATAAACGAATCAACCCGCGGATTTTTAAATTGCAAAAAACGCGTCGTCAACACATCGCGATATCACGAGACTAGGGGGGTATATTCAGTTGACGAGTACGCTCGTACGGGGAGTGTCATGTATCGTAAATAGTTCGAAGCGCAATGGGACAAATGCCGCACAAAATAGAAAGTGTCCGGGGACGAAGGAACCGTCTATCCGTTTCGTCGTTAATTCGAAATTCTCAGGAAGCAAAATCACGATTGCATCGTGAGGCTAAAACACCGATATTCACCAACGTCGTTTAATCTTAGTTAATCTTTGATCTTAGTTTAAATCACCTTTGTCCCTTTCTAAGGGAGCAGTTAGAAGGAGGGAAGACTGAATTAAACAAGCAAAGTTAAATAATATTGGTGAAAACGGGCATAAAGGCATCTTATAATTGAACTCAATCGGTATTCCGAGGCGCGGGGTTATCAGAGCTCCTTGTTACTGACGTCTGCGTCTCATTATCTTTGTATTGAGCACCTTTTCATCGTGTCGGCGTCGTTATAATGCAGGTAGCTCTCGCTGCCGGTGAAGCTGGGTACAGCCCTCTCGTATCTCACGGGCGTGACGGCGTTGCTGCTGGCTCTCGCCGGTGGCGGGATCAACGGCGTGTAGTCGTCCGGTGCGGGACAAGGGTGCGGTACTCCTGGTCGGCACCGGCAGGTAAATCGCTCGCGGAGAGGCCGGCATTCCGCGTCGCCGCACGGTCTGGCCTCGCACGCGTGCCCGCAGTTACCCACGTTCACCCCGCCGAGCGCCTCGGCTAGGATGCCCACCTGCGATAAGAATCGTAATAGTTGCGTAGACAGTAATGGTGATGTAAACGGCAATAATAGAAGGACGTCCACCTATCATGAGGTAGACTTCTAATATGAGATAGCGGGGTTTCTGTTCAATTAAAAGGTCATCTGTTGACGCCACCATGAATTTATTGCTCTCAGAGCGAAGTCTGTTTAGTGGAAAATTCGTTAGATTGTGTAATGGTCGCGAAACAAGATTTGTGATTGAATTTGGATGTCGAAAATCTGCTATCTCATATTAGAAACCTATCTCATAATAGAGGGCTTTCCTCTAATGCTGGGTCGAAATAGGACGAGAAAGGAAGCGAAACTTTGCTTGTACCGACTAAAATATTTCTGACGGAAAGAGATTCGATTTCTATATGATTGAAAACATGTGTGATCGTAACATACACACGCACACACTTTCTCTCTATTGCTTCTTCTATTTGTTTCTCGCATACAATGGGCTATTAAAGGAGTGAAAAATTCAGAACCGTTTGTTTCGACCAATTATTTTTATACTAGGGATGTAATCTCAATATTTCTTATTAGAAAACAAAATTGGGAGATTTGTTAGTTTCGAAGAATTAATTGAATTTCTTAATTTCATTATTTAGCTCAATCTGAACCGTATGTTGAATCCTTACTGTTATTGGCAATTTCCGAAACTTGCAATTATACGTTCAGGCGTCTATTTGATCTCGACCCATTTTTATAAAACGCGAGGAAACGACGATAGAGATTTAAATCCAAGTGATTCAAGTAGGAGGTTTCAACGACTTATCTACCAGACCAGCGAGACTCAAACTCCGAGGCATTCCGACAGTAGCATTATCTACCGCGCAACTTCGGAGCAGCCTGTATAATCCCGGTGTTCTTACCTCGCGATTATTCAGCACGATCGTCTGAATGCAGCCGACGAAGCTGGCCGTAGTTTTCATCTTCGGCGAGTACATGTCGGGGGACGGCGCGCCGCCCAAATAGAGGTTCAGCGGTAAGGATAATTGCGTGAACGCTCCGGGCGCCAGGATTTCCTGGGCCGGGCCGTCTTCAACTTCTAGGGATGCCAAACGACCTGTCCTGGAAACCCGAACTTCGACCCATTCGCCAAGACGAACCGGATTTTCGCTTCTGAAACGATAATGCAGATAATGCAACATTGCACGCTGAAAATGCGCCGTCATTAACGTTTGAGGGGCCGGGTGAGGTTTTGATATGAAAATTTCATCAGACAGAGAGAAGAAAGTTTCCTAATTAGTGGTTACGAATCTATGCGAGAGCTGTGCATTATTTTTCACGAGTGAGGCGCGACCTCCTGCTCCGATAGTGATTTGTTTTTTTGGGTCACTTTGAATCTAGAAAAGAGTTGAGGGATTCACAGAAAGTAACATTTCAAACCGCATCAAAATGCCAGTTTACTTATTATATATATAAAAGAGTTTTTCAACATATTTTGTATTAGAAATCGTTTTCCCAGAAAGCTACGTTCAATGGACCTTAAATACTCTTTTGATAAAAGAGATTATGTGTTTCGAACGAAAAGAAATAACTTGGTTATTGTTTCTAAATTGAAACTGTAGCTGTATCTCTATTTATTTATGTATATTTCTCGTAAATTAATTTTCCCTGTTACTATTGTATTTCTAGTGAACGTACTTTATTCTAGCATTCCTTCATCTTTTTCGTTATAAGAACGCCGAGCAGGAAAATGAAGTATAGCACGAGAGACGATATGATCCTTCTAACTTGGTGAAGTATGACATAAGGTTCTTGAAAAATATCCGAAGTTGGAAAAGAGAGACGATATTACTCTTTTACGGATTTTTCGAACAATTTAATTTTTTTTTTTTCAAAAATGAAGCCTCACGCGAGAATAAATTTATATTTCGTACCTCTTTTATGCTCTCACCAAAAAAAAAGAATCAATCTTCCCCCGATTTTACGTTAACTTTACGGGCTGCATATACACTTACACGATGTGCGCACACGTATGCATCGTATTTTTACATTGCGCCTCTTTCGTTAAAAATCTTACGTTGGAGGACGCTCCGCCCGGAGAAACTGCGCTTTCCGCAAAATGAAGCTATCGCAAAAACGCGTTAGCGGCTAAAAAGAGGAACGGGGCTTTCGCATTGAAAAATTGAAACGGCACTCTTCTCGTCGCTGGTGTCCGCGCGAAGCAATTAACAGGGGCCGCGCTCTCCTCGCCACGTCTACAATTATAATCGACGTTAACTCGATATTGACGGACGCTCCATCGATTTGATTTCGCGACGACGCGACGCGTCGCGACGCCCGGGAGGCCCCGCGTCAGCCAGTCAGCCAGCCGGCCTGGAGTTTTCCTCCGAGCGAACGCGAAAACGAAAATTCGCGCACGTACCGCAGAAACTTTACGCGCCCAGCTACAAAGTCGGATCATTCAATTTGAATTTCGCGAGGGAAGTCGGGCGCGCGTTCCGTAGACAATGGATTCTCTCTCGTACCCTAGGCGGGGGACTCCCTTCCCGAGAGGATTCGACAGAAGAAATTCTTGCATAATTAATGTCGAATCGGGGGGACAGGACAAGGCCGGATATGGGTGGGGGGAAGTTCGTGGGATCGTAAGCGGCAAGTAAATTGCTAATTAATAAAGGAACGAGATGGAGTCGGAAATTTTCATATTGGACTTTTCGCCCGGCGCTATTACGATAAAAGACACGCCTGGAACTTGGAGGCTCGCTTGTTAACTGCTTCTTTTTTCCGGACACGAGGTTAAATGTCCTTGTTTAATGGCGCACGTAATAATGCACGGTTTTTTTTACGTCGGAGTTTCGCAGTGGTCGCTTTTTATTAAGCGGGAAGGAGATGTGTTTTTGCATAAGATTTATTATCTAGCGGACTGAATAATAAATAGCGCACGAACGTTTCTGCACGGCTAGGAAATTGGTATTAGAATATTTGATCATGCATTATGAGGATCGTTCACATACGCGTGTCATGAATTTATTCGTAACACTGAGCAGAAACAAAATTCTACATTGCCGCACTAATATTTAATAACCTATTCTTTGAATCAATATTTTTTTAGTTAAAATATCGTAGCATGAAGAATTGTTATCTTCCAAGTGATCTTTTTTTTGTAGTTTAAGTCTTTAATTTTACGAAAGCTCTACTTTGGTAGACTTGTAATTTGAAACTAAAAGCTAACATGTTAAGATATAACGAAATGTTGCCTAGTTACTAAAATTTAATCTTGAAAATTGAAAACTTGCGACATAATCTCTTCTGACACTTTCACAAAGAAATTGATGAAAAGTTGGTCAAATGATAGAATAAATAATATGTGCTCAATAATACACACGTGTACGCAATATGTTACTTTGTTTTATAACATAATTACGTGTGATAACAAATTTAACGTTATATTTGTGTCTTTTTTGGATTATCGATTTATTTAAAATTTTATTTGATTGCAAAGCATAGAAGGGTATTCCAATATTCAGATTTTATTCAATGGAATTGAAAGCAGTCTACTAGTCAAGCTATCGAAATGCGAATGCGAAGTATTTCGTAAATTTATTTTCGGGAATATATTCTTGAATAATTTTATATTAATAATACAAACGGTCGTGTGCTATATTCGTTGAAATAATTTCATTTCTTGTTTACAATTAAAAATTTGATATAAAAAACGGGAAATAAAAACACGATTTTCATAAAATGTCATTTTTTAAACACTTCTTTATATGAAAAAAAATATTAACAAGATATTTACATTTGGTTTAGATACGTGTATTTGCATTTTTTTTAATTATAATCTTTTTATATCACCCTTAAAGAATTTTTTTAACAAAAAATAGTTTTAATTTTAAAAATACGATGAATCTGTTCAATGCACGCTTAATTTGGATAAATATTAGAAAATATAATAACTCAATTTAGATTATAATAATTGTAATATGTGATAATAATTCAAGCAAATAGCAAATATGCCAATATATACAACGATGAATATTTCTCGGTCTTATTTAGATATAAATCAAATTGAAATTTAAACGCCCATTGAATTAGGACCTATAGGCAAGGTGGTGGCCATTAAATAGCTTAGTGAATCCATAAAAAACAAATATGCCAATATATGTTCAGGTTGTATCTTTTGTGTAATATTTTCCCGTAAATTTATATATACATTTCTCGCTTAGCAAACTCAACCAATTACTCTTGAAACGCAATCCGAAGCTAAAATAGTACAATTACATAATTGATGATCAATTTAATAATACCAATAAGTGTTTAAAACAACTGCGAAGAATAAGTTACGAAAAACGAACATAAATATACGTTCACGCGAAAATAATATTATTAGGCCTCAAAGAGGCCGACCATACATTGACACGCTCTTCATTAATTTGGTTCATTTAAATTATTAGAAATATTTGTTTGCAGTAATTATTCACGAGAACCGACTTTGATCGATTCTACTTAATAATTTTATTCGTTGTTATTACGACGAATTAAATGAAACAATCCGATCAGCATTGGTTTATCAATTTACTTCGCTTATCGTAAAATGCTATCTCAAAAATGATAACCGACATTAAAAAATATAACAGCCCGAGTGCAACTGTTTGTTAAATATTTCTGATGCTTATTCGAGGGAACAGGTACGGAACGATTTTACTAAACAATAATCTCATTTGTCATGATTTAATGCAACGAATTAAATCAACTCGAATAATCAGCATTGGGGTACATTAAAAAGTCTCTGTTCGCAAATGAGCAGGGCGAAAAAACGCCCGGGCGTTTCGCGCACGATATCGACGCGCGCGTGCGTCGGTTTAATTACCTGACGATGCATACGCAAACAGTGCAATTAGCGCTTCATTACACTCGAAGCGGTGCGCGCTGCGCGGTGCGGATACCGTCTATCGCGAAACGAACAGCTCCGAGGGTGAATTGTCACCCTCGAGCTGGCTGTACGCTGCGCTCGGCGGCAACCGTTTGCAGAAACTTCGTCGAGGGCCATCGGCTTACCTCAAAGTGGCAGGTCCTGTTCCGAGGTCGAAGGTGAACTGCACGTGGCCCGAGGAGAGATAGAGAGCAATAAAGTCACCGGTCGCGTCGCTGTGATGGCCGTTGTAGAGTATCACGCCGTCCGGCGCGGTCGGTTTTAACGTGACGGACAATTCCAGCCACGACAGCGACGTGTCCGCCAATCCCGGATAACGTAGGTAAGAGGATCCGTTGAAGGATGGAACCTGCGGGAATAAAACACCGTTGTGGTCTGAGATTGCATGGAAATGTCGTTACCGGGCAAATGCATTCCCGTTTTTGCCTCTCACCCTTAATCGCCTGCCATTGGGGAGACTGGCGAACGTGTCGTATTTGTTACGTTTCGTGCCTTTTAAGCGGTAGTGGAATGGCATAAAAAAAAACACGGGATGTCCTGTACGTCTGACAAACTATCTATCTTCGGCCAATCCGCGCTTGATTTTTTGTCACTGATAAATCGAGAGAGGCGATCAATTGCCGCATGTTTTCAGCAGTTTAACACGAGACGTCCGCGTTTACCCCTTACTAAAATTAATAAATCCGAAGTACATCTAGAATTAAATTAAGTTTTGCATTCTGTAAGAAGAGTTTCGCTCTATACGTTCTGTAGCTCTGTAGTTCTTTGGCTCTTTCTTCTTTTCGTTCTTCGCTCTTTCTCTCTTGTTCTACAGTGCTGCATAGCTTATAAAAATGCAATGTAACAAAGCATTTTTAAAGAACACCCCCTCCCCCCTTTATGTTTTCGGAACATACGATTTCTGAAAAGCCCTTTGTGTGATTTGCAATTGAAGAACAATTGGTCGCAATCAACGCCTTTGTTGAAAAAAAATTAAACTAATAAATGATACAAAAATGGCCCAGTGTGCCGAAATACACATCAACGTGGAATTATCAGACTTTATTTGTCACATACGGAAGTGTGATCGATTCTTTTCAGAAAATTAAATTTTCAAAATTGCTCAAATCTTTAAAGGACAAAAACAAAAATGTGAAATACAAAGAGGACATTGTGGATAGAAAATAAGAGGATAAGCATGTATAATTTTCCTATTTTCTTAATTAAATTTGGAGATACCATGTTAATAGAGATTTCTTGTGATAATGTTTCGGATACGAAACGCTAACATCGTACCAACTCGCGTATACTTACTGTAAATGATAATGTAAGTTTAAGGAGGAAATTGCCGTGATAATTTATAACTGAGAATGTCTTCCCCGGGAATGTGAGACTTTAACGTTTATCGTATTCCTAAGCGTGATACTCCAAAAGGAACTATTATATCATAATAGCAAAACTCTATTCGCGCAAGCTAAATATGTATTATAGAAAGTAGGAAGAACATTTTAGCAAATTCAAAATAATTCTATTCTACTTTTTACGAACATACACGTATCGTGTTTTATTTTAAAGAAATATTTACTTAGACGAACGAATAAATATTTCTATTTAAACAAAAATTAATAATGTAAATAAATATCACACGTTATAGATACAATTAATTATTGGCCGTATTAACTAATTTTTTGCTGTCTTAATATATGATTTAATTAACTCGATATACATTTTCTTTCAAGAAATATACTATTTTTCTTATCATATATTTTTAATTACGCCGATTAAACTCGTCAGAATAATTTGTACAATATTATCTTGGAAATACTTTTCCTTTTCCTTGTATCCGAAATAGTTTTTCTCGTTTATGGCAGATACTTGTCTCTTTATTCGTGACAATTTTACATTCGCGATAGATTTAAGTAATACTTTTCTTGTTAATGCAGACGCGCATGTTCGCATTCTCACACGCGCTCGCATACACACGTTTCCCTTGTGGTAGCTGTAATAACTCTTCTCGTCGCGAGCATAAAATAGAGAAACTGCCGGAACAGCTGTTGTTATTTAATTTACGGTCGGCGCGGGATTTTGTGCTTTTCGTAAATCGGAATGCAAATACGTTGTATGTCACTGTCTCGGATAATCCTTAATATAGCTGCATTCCACCAAGTACCTTAAGAGCAGTTGCGAGGTCGAAGCGAGCTGCTTCCGTCTTAATGAGTCTGGCTGATAATTGTTTGTACGTCAGTTACCTCTCAAGATAAATGCAAAATGTAAGGATCGTTTCTTCAACAAATTGCACCCTGACGTTTTGTGAAACTCAAATGGGGAAATATCAATGTGTACCATGAATTTTATGCTGGAATTTTGTCTTGTAATTTTATTTCATCTCATTTTATCTGCTTCATCTTTAGATGCATCATTGAATGCGAGATACTTCTTCTTATGGAAATTCGCGGATCTGTTATTCCAGTGAGATTCTTATAACTCTTTATATATTTTATCTGACCGATAATCTAATTGAAATTAATATGTTAGAAATACGCAAATTGTAAGCCATGTTTAAATAACGAGTCGGAACGATAAATTCTTAATGAACTATTGAACTACAAGACGAGAAAGTAGAAAAGTTTGACACGTCTCCTTCCTGACAGTTGTTTAATTATAAATATCTATATTCATAAATAAACGGTTCGCGCAAGAGATTGCGATATAAATGTCTCAGAGATATCTCGTGGGATAAATGCGTTTATACTTTCTCCGATTAAGAAAATATATTTGCTTAGTCTTGCAAAATGAGAAATTCATGTGATTTGTGAAAGAGAGGAACGTAGTACTTCTTTCAAAATACATATAACTTACTTCAAATTAGTTGCAAAGTAAAGTTTTATCATCATTTTGATTTCAAAAATTTCTTCTCTTACTTAATTACAACTATTGCTTCCCTATATTTGTATAATGAAAACTATAACTCTTTGAGCTATGAACAAATTATTTATTGTGCATATAAATCGCATTACGAATACCACTCTCCATCCACCTTTCCATTTTGCTTGATACATATTCGATTTCCTCGCTCGGATGCTCAAAGATTCCGTAGTGTGTTTTTCGTCGAATCGTTCAGGGAGGAGGGGGTGGTGAAAAATTCGAAAAATTCGAAAGGGACGAAAGCGCGGACGCGGCCCCTTTGATAAAGTACGGCGCGGGAGAGCCGGCGTAAATTAATTACAACCAAACGGAAGGAATCCTGACAGCGCCGTTAAGTCGGGGCGGGATATGCCCCTCGTAAGAAATTTCCAGTCATCCCGTACGACGCCTATATGCTCGTTGGCCTCTTTTCCCTCTTCCCGCTACGTAAAAGCTACGTCCCGGTGATAAGGAGCTCCCGCGGGAGAGCCAGGAGAGAAGTAACCTTGTATTATGCGAAAGACCAGCAACTCGTAAGATCCCTCGGGGAACACCCTTTCTCACCGCTTACGACATCGTCCGTCTGTTCGGCTTATGTCCCCCCCCCCCCAGCCCAGNTGTCCACGGCAGTCTGCGGCACGCAAAGACCGTTGATAGGTCCACGAATTTTTTACGAGACAGTTTTGAACTTGGAAATGTCCTGTTGCATTATCGAACACGCGTAGCCGAACGCGCTATTACAAACGCGACCGAAACTAAATATTGTTTTACCACCGAACGACCGTTTGATCTTTGGCGGGGGGGGGGGGGGGGACGCGGACGCTTCGCTGATTCTATTGATTTTGTCGTGTCGCGGAAAATGCTTTTGCATTACATTTATGCCCAGCACGTTAATATCTTAATTACATATTTATATTGTATTTTTCACAAGCACGCGTGCATATTTTAAATTTAATTTATGATAAATAACGTATTTTAAATGACAATAAATGATGTGGTAACGCATCCATATTTTATGCGATCTAAATATTATTTGATTCTAAATGATAATATCTTGATTACGGTTGATAATGCGTTTAATTTACGTAGTCACGAAACAAAGGATTTTGTATGCTTTCGATAAATCTATTAAAAATATAATCGAGATATTACATTTTGTCACAGACACATTGGTGCACGTTAACATTACTTTTTGTTTATTATGATTAAATTTATTCTTCATTAATAAAATTAAGTGGTAATACAACGGGTACTTTATAAGTCACGACAATCTATTTTTTTTTCCGGCCGAATGTACTTCACTGAAGAGATTTTAAAATATATACATATTAAAGGAAACAATAGACCGCTTAGCGCTAGTCAGACCAGTTATTTGTGAAGGGTTTTAAGTAAGGGAAACGAGCAATAGCAATTCGAACTTATCGTTGCATATTTCTTTACTCCGCTGGAATGCTGCCATCCACTTGCGACAGTTAATTCAGTATGGTATAATTACCCAAAGCTTTCGCAAGTTCTGCATGACACTCTCTCGCGATTTTGCCACGAAGCACCGCGATTTTCAACTAAGAACGCTGTTCCAGCCGATTAACGTTCTAAAGAAATATCCGATGGTAAGTTTGAATTGTGCGCGCTTATTGCTCGTTTCCCTTGCCTAAAACTTCCCTTCACAAATAACTGATCTGACTACGTTAATCGGTAGAATATATCGTGTCCTTTAATATGTGCATTTTCGAGGTTTCTCCAGCGAAGCGCATTTGCCCGAAAAATTTGGTTGCTACGAGTTACGAAATAACCCTCGTATATCATTTCATGTTATCATTGGGGTATAAATTCAATATAGATGTATCGTAAAAGAGAGTAATAAATAAAGACGTAAGGAGTAGCTGTAGCTATAAAGTTTGAAAAAATCGACAATGCAATATTTTATGATGCCTTTGCGGCATCATTTTTTGACATAGAAGAGTCATTTATACCTCTTTCCCCGGGCAACATAATTTTATGCTTACGAAACGCAATGTATCCTTCTCTCGAGCATGTAATTTCCGGAAAAGCTTTTCACGTTCCTTCGCTTTAGCGCAGAGACCACTTTGTTCAAATAGCACATGAATAGAAAGAAGGTTGTAATTTTCACAAAGTTGCAGCTACAAATTCAAAATTGCACTGTTTAAGTATTTCCAATAGCAGATGCTGCGCACGTGGATAGATCGTATTTTCTTTCATCCGTCAAGTGTATAAAAATTCAAATGAAGTAAAATTGCATCATGGAAACGTTAGATCTTCCAATATTGCGTATCTGTTTAAGATCCACTGAATAGATTTTTAAAAATTCCACATCTTTGCAATTATTTCTTTATCCCCACAAAATCTATAATGGAGCACATGCCTAATTTTATCTTTTACAAACGGTTATAAAGAAGTAATTAAAAAGTCATAAGATCAAAAAATAAAAAATAAAAATAATATAGGTTACGTAAATCGAGACTTTGAAACAAAAGGACTAGCGGAAATCCACATTTTGGATTTACGTAATTTATTCTTATTTATGTTTATTTTTACTTTTTAATCTTATGACTTTTTAATTATCTCTTTATAACCGTTTGAACATCTTTCTCAGCTGAGGCTGAGAACCAAATTGTGGTTCGAAACGTTCGAAACTTATTTTTCTTTAATTGCGTCATTTTATTTTATTCGGTTTAGTTTTTTTAAACACATGCAATCCTTCCTGTTTTATTTCTTAGTTTTTGACTCTTATTGCCTTTATTTGTATGTCGATTATTATCAACAGAGTCACTTTTCGTTTATTTATTTAGCTTTTACATTCTGGCATGGAAATTCGTCAGGTATTTGCTAACGCTCGACTGGAAGAAGCATTATTTCCCTCACGAGTAAATGATCCAATAAAACGCGCGCATTCCTTACGAAAACACGCCGTTCGAGCTGTTAGCTCCACTTGGACATTACCGTTTTATTTCGACATCCGGCGGCATCTTTCAGCGGATGTTGCAAAAATGGTCGGCGCCGTAAATTACGACGATATTCCGACGACATTTGGTTATTGCGGCTATATCTCTTCCGCTTGTACGTTAATGGAATTAAACTCGGGAACGGTCGGGCGAGACCAAAGTTCGAGAACGAGTTTCGAGTTTGAAGTGATACTCGTTAACTCGAGCCCTTTATGGTCGTTTCTCGAGCTAGTTTATGTTCTGATTTCGAGATCGGAAACGCGGTAATCCCGCGAAGGATACATATCCCTCTGCCTCGGCTCTTACAGTATCTGCACGTAAAACGCAGCTTGCGGTACAAAGAATAAAGTGTACGTCAACTTTTAACATGCCGCTTCTAATTTAGCGGCGTCCCCACCCCCCGCGCACAAAACGTTAGCTGAAATAATGATACAAAATCCTTAATTTCAATATGAGCCGTTGCTGGCTCAAAAATTAACCACAATTAATTTATCAAATTATGTAATACGAAGCTAGGTTAATATATCCAATTAACCCTTTAAAGCATACATTTCTCTATTGAACCATTTTTTGAGAAACTTTGTATGCAAGGGTTTTGGGATCACCGATTAGGAATTCGTTATCAGATTTTTATAATTCAAGACGGCGGAATCCAAATCTTTAAAGAATAACATCATTAAACGGTAATTCAACTATGCTGAGAAACATTATTTAGATATTATTAGGACCCATGGAATCTAAATTCCAGTTGAAGATTCTTATAGAATATAAAAAATAGCGCGCGCGAAATGGCAGATGCAAAATTGAAATTTGATCATTTCTTAGAGTTTACTCATTCTTGGCACTATCCAGAGCTCACGACGCGGACGTGATGAGTCCTTAAGTACCGTAATCAAACGGAAATGCTGAAAAACTTGAAACCTTAAATTCACGTACTTTGCATCCGCTATTTTGGGGTCGGCCAGTTTGAATTTTGAAAATCTGACATCAGATTCGTAATGAGCAACCCCGAAAGCCCCTTTGTACAAAGTTTTCAAGAAATAATCTTAAAAAATTTGGTCAGTAATTAATTTTTCCGAAAAAGTTGCTGTTTTTTTTTCAAATTTTTTTATTTATAAAACTTTCATAATAAATATTAAAGACTACTCAACTTTTTTATGTTCTTTTATTGCTAAGATATGCAAAAACCGACCTAAATGCGTTAACTAGAAATTAAATGGCTAAAACGTAAAGAAGTTGAGGTGCTAACGTGGGTTACCAGCATACTTGAAAGGGTTAAAAGAAAATAAAATGTATCTTTACGGCGCTGAGGTAATTTTCAATTTGTAACGTGCCCTTTACATTTGCCGAGGACTGTCCGATTGGCCCCCAGAAAATTGACCCGAGTTACAACTGTCACTGATACCGCAGGCGAACTGCCGATGCATGTGAATGAATCTTTATAACTCGGCACTTGGTGTCATTCCGCTACGTGCCGGAAGTAATATCGGTCGAGCGCCGATACCAATTTCATCATATCGGAGCACGAATATGCTACCCGTCTGCTTTCCGCCATTGCCATAATCGATATCGTATATATAACCGCGCATAATCCGCGAGAAACCGTGCACACGCGCGGGCGAGCGGCATACGGTGACTTCCGGCGAATGCGGCCGCGTCCGCTCCATTAAGTCGACTGATATAAATCGCGAGGATTTCAATACGCATCGTTCGGTCCAATGTATTTTTATACTATATGCGCGTATATACGTATCGATGCGAGAATTACGTCTTTCTATTCGTTTAAGCCGCCTCGTTAGCGGCGCGGATGTTAATTACTCGTAGCCAACCGCTTATTGCGCGGATAAACGCGTCATTTGCGAAGCGGGTGGGCGCGATCGATTTTCGTATGCCGCGTCGCATTTTGCGACAATGCATTAACGCAGCGGAATAATGCATACAAAGGCTAGCTGCCGCTTTTTAATACCAAACGGAATAGAGTGGCCGCGGTATTTTACGTGAAAATGACGACACAGCCTGAATAAATTATAATAACATAAACTATTCTAATATTGTGAACCGCGGCAATGCTGTAAATGTTTTATACAAATTTCCTGTCAACTCAAATCTCATAAATTCTGCCCAAGCAGTTTAAAGTTATATATGTACGTCTTCTCGCGAGCAAGGAAAAAAGTGAACGGACACAAAGAGATCGTAAACTGCTAAAACATTTGCGAAAGAATTAAATGCTCTTCCTTCATTCACAATAGATACGAGTTTAATCTAGAAAGAGACAGCTGATGATTAAGTCAAGCTTATTCGATTCATGCTGTCGATGCAATCGGGTCTTAGATTAAAGTAAGCCACGTATAATCCATCAAATCTCGTAACGTGACGGCATAACAACGTCATGTCTGATATGATGTAAACACTGTTCCGCTGCCTGTGCATCCGCAAGTGTAGATGTGCAATACCATTCCCACGTACGGAAGTGATCTGTAAATTGCATACGTGCGATTGTTGCGTGCAAATGTGTGTTTTACGAAAACTAGATATTTTACGAGCCAAAGTTATATTGAAACACTCTTGTTTCTTACTCTTGTCTTAAATTATTTATGGTACGAACAGTTAAAAAAAAATATGAATTTTCCAATCCGTAGGTAATTTGGCATTTAGAAAAATTAATTTCCGTCTGAATTTAATTATTCCACCGCGATAATTGACGAGCTCCTAAGCTCCCAGCTCCTAAGCAGATCCGTGTGTCAGCGACCTTTATAAATATATTAGACCGCGCATATACGTGTGGAAATATTATAATTTAATAGTAAAACGAACGTGCCAAAATAAACGACGTTACTATAATTTTCGCGTTACAAGCTATATTTGAATTCGCGGGGTGATGCAATTCATGGCTCGTCGTTCTTTAAGCAGCTTCGAGAATTGTATTTCTGGAAACGTCTAATAAATGCTGTTTTTTAACTACATTTTTTTGAAGAAAGACTCTTTTTGAAGGATTATTTTTCAATCTTACTTTCAATCTCCCAGCAGCTTTTGCATCATTTTATCACGACGTGAAAACCACTTTAAGAAGAATTGGTATTACCGCGAAGAAGGAAATATATGCGTTAAGTCGCCGAAAACATGAAACGTGTTAGATGAGAACGACTTTAGCCGGCTGGAAATACATTGCTGTGAACGTTATTAGCATGCGAACGGCGCCCTGCAATATTCGTTCGGGGTACCCGAAACTTGCTAAAATTGGACTTAAGATCACAAACGTCTATATATTTACGACAGTAACAAGTTTAACGGGCGAGCCATAGCAATTTATCATGTAATTGCTTTCAATTTGCAAAGTGACGAGGAGGCGTCTGTTTTGAAACTGTCTTATCTATTTTCTTATCTGTCTATAACTTGTACTGTAACAGTCACGTATTTAAGTTAAGCTTTTTACCTATTCTTGGTAATCTTTAACGATGGGCCTTAATTCAATCTTTTAGACGAATCTTAATTTAGATACATTGATACAAATAAGTGCTGAGATATAATTGCTTCGTAAGAAAAACATTACGTAAATAACATTCGTACCATTTAAATTTTGCAACGTTGCCAAGAAACGGGGGAAAATAGTGAATGAAATGTAAAAGTGTATTGAGGGTGTATCTATTTATCTACAGAAATATAAAAACTGACAGAATAAAAATTTAGAAAGAAATAACGCGGTTTAGCAGTTGTCTATAAGGAACCGTTTCGATGTTCCTGGCAAATGATTCTCTAACGAAGTTATTTTCATTGGCTACGCTAAAGTACGACATACCGCGAAGAGGCACTTCGGAGCTTTGTATTATCAGCAGGTTACGTCATTCTCATTTATATGAGCTTGGCGATTGTTCGTGCTTATAATTCCTTCGAAATTGATTCGGTTACCTGCAGATCCACTCGGGTTTCGCAGAGATCGCCCGTGTAGCCGAGCGGGCAGAGACAGACAGCCGTGTCGCCTCCGGTTGTCAGGCATTTTCCACCGTGGGAACACGGCACCTTACTGCACCTGTCGGCCGTGCACTCCTCTGGAACGACAATAAATCAGGCGATTTAATAAAAGTTCCGGCGGAGTGCGAAATCAAGAGTTACACGAGTGAGAATCGGAGAATCGAGGCCGACTCGATTCGACTCGACTCGACTTGACTCGACTACGACACGAGAGATTCGACTGCGCGCGAGATAAAACCAATAAAATCACTCGCGCCTCGACAGGCCGTCGCGTCCGATTTATTGGAGTGGAGAAGTATCAATCTCTTCCGCCTCATCGTATTTTCGACGATATCATTTAGCGTGCGCGAACATTGACGGGGGATTTTTTTGCGCGCGTCCGCGACGTCGACGATCACGATATAACACTCGATGTTGAGCTTTACGACGTGACGGAACAACCGACCGGAAATACGCGACTCTGCGTCCCCGTTGTGAGATATATTTAACGTTATACGGTTTTGTTTTATATCATTCGGCTGACATTTCCGCGAAACCACGTATTTGTGTCATCACCATAGACCTAGCAAATATAGACTGAGCGTTCCATTGAATAAGCTGAAGCTTCTGAAGAGAGAGACAAAGAAGACTTAAGAAGATTTTCTTTCTCTGTCTCGTCATCGAGACAAAGGAGGCGCAGGCACGATTCCTTTCTTTTACGATGGTGTAAGACAGAAAAAGAAAATTTTTTTAAATCTTCCCTCTCTCTCTTCACAAGCTTCAGCTTAATCAATGGGACGCTCAGTCTATATTTACTATGTCTATGGTTATCACATTATAATACAGATACAAAACAGATGATTACTTTGGACCCTTTAAGGATTTTGTACACATTGAATAGAAAAGTTAATATTTTTCAGACCTATATAATGGAAATGATAAGCTATCCTGTTTGAATAGCTTTTCCATTTTCGCACAATTTTGTGCAATTATACGTGTTACCTAACAAAACAGCCTATGAAATTATACATAGACTAAAAACATACAGAGCCAATTCCGGTATTTCAGTTAGCAGATTTAATAAATAACAGAGAAATGTAATGATTACCTATTATTTATAATTTTAATAATGGTAAAAAGGCAGGGACGCTTCAAATTTTTAATGCAGCTTTGTCGATCAAATTATTTATCTACACTTAACGTATTGTATAAAGGTATACATCTTCAATTGTACACAATAAAATAAATATTTCTAATTTATAAAATAGATAAATTAATTTTTTTGACCGTATTTTTTTATTTGTATTTTAATTTGTAGTTATTTATTATATTATCATGAACAATTCGTTTTATTTATTGTTGGTTCGATGCAGAAAAAGAAACCCGGTAAACTGGAGACAGATTAACAATGGATTAATGCCATTCTTATAAAGATAAAGATCCGAATTGGAACGTCTGAGAAAAGATCGAACCGATGTCGATCTCCCGATAATGAATGACCCAGACGATTTTTACTTTCCGCCGGTTATTCGTTTCCGCGAGTGCCAGAGTGTTCGAACTCTCCGGCTCGAAGTTTTCCAATCTAAATGGTGTTATCTTTTCATGAGTCTCCCCATACGGCAAGCGTAGACCCAATCGGAAAGTAACACGGAACTTTCGATTTAACCCGTCTCATTTATCTCTCGTGCGAGGTATCTTTTGTAAACCGAAGTTACAGGTCGAAAATAACGTAGTAAAACAATGACGGAATAATATTGTACGTTATTTTGTACACATTGAATAGAAAAGTTAATATTTTTCAGACCTATATAATGGAAATGATAAGCTCCTGTTTGAATAGCTTTTCCATTTTCGCGCAATTTTGTGCAATACACTTTCCGACTTGAACGCCTGCTATTTCCTTTTTATCGTGTTTTAAGATGTAATCATTGTAATGAAAGCAATAATTTATGGAGTATATCTTATACAAATGCATGTAAACCGTGCACGCTTGAATTAAATATCTGTATTAATTTTGCACAACGTTTACACGCATTAACATATGAATTGTAAATAAAAACGGCAAATTCGGCAATTGGTACTTCGCAAATTTGCATAATAATGCCTCGATTGATATCGATTAATCTTTGATAATTAATGCTACACGCTGATAAAGACCGTACTCCATGCGTGCGATATATTTGATTAACCGTACATAACCGATTATGCTCGCGGATGCGTTTCATCCGATTTTAATGTACTACATCCGTATGGTATTGTGTACATTATGTACGGATGGAAACACTAAATTCTGCTCCAAGGAAGGAAACCTATAATATTTGTATTAGTGTACGCAGGCTGTTACAGGCAAAGTATGAAATACAAATGCCACACGCATATACATTATAAGATTAAACGAGATTATTGATGCAAAATGTAAAATGCGCTTTTCCCGCACTCTTTTGCCTTAAAACAAACTTTCGCCTGTATCTTCCCGCTAAGAGCATTTTCGCTCCGCTGTTATTTACATATATATTCCGTTATCGCGAATGTTTGCCGACATTAATATCGTATCTGTCGCACGATTGGGTTAGTTCGGATGTGTCCGACTACATATATCTAAATTATGTTCCGTACATATTATGAACAGTGGCGCGCTCGATATTACAAAATAGAGATAACGTTTGGTTGGCTGCGTCGTGATATAAATACCAGGCAGAGATGTCCATTACTCGGAGGTACATAATTAATGCGACATACAAAGCAGCTGTTGCATAGTCGGACCTACACGACTTTTCCCCGCTTCCGAAATGTTGACAATTCATTACCGACACTCCGACGATGATAACGATAATTACTCGCGATAATCACAGGTAGTCTTCGCTGGCGCAGCGATTTCTCCTTCGCCGACAAAAGAGCCCGTACCGCCTCACGATTGTATCATTTCCGATGCATTTAAACAGATTTGTTACTCAAATATCCCGGCTTCCGATTTTTTAAAACAAAAATTCGATAATCTGTAAATCCATAAAAAATGGAAACTACGCGGATATGGAAGTGGCTTAGTCGAGAATCATTTTTCACTGCGGATATATCAAAAACGGTGCAACAGCCATTCGAATATATAGAACAATTGTTTGAATCTGTCCTATTATCTTCGAGCTGTTAAGGATATTGAAAGAAATTAAATAAATGTTATTATTTTTGATGACTTATAAAACAATAACTGTTTGGAAAAGATTCATTTTCACTTTTTGTAAATAAAACAATCATTTTACTCTTTCTGTGAAAACTGTTACTTTTTCTTTGTACATTTCTATGCAACAACAAAACAGTATAGAATCACCTGTACAAAATATTATTTGAAAGGTATCGAAGAGACATACAATTAGCTTTCAGGACGTTTGTTCCATTTTAAAACCGTTATTTGAGAGTAAGTTAGAGTTGAACGACTCTATATTTACGGAAATATTAAATTACAATTTACGGATTTGTAACAAATTTTGCTTCGCTATCTGTTTCAGTTCACTTTTCATCTTTTCTGCTTCTTTTATAGCTAATTCGTTATCACGTCTTCCATCTATTTTTTGTCATTCTTGTAAATTTGTATTATTATGTAAGAAATTCGAGCCTTCCAACTATTTAGATCTGAACAAACGTCCGTACGATTACTATTTGTGTTTTGATAAGAAAATATGATCTACCGATGAAATTCCAACACTGATATGACGAGTACGCTATTCAACCGTCATGTATTGAATCCACTTTAATTGAATATATAATCATCTTTGCAGAGTGGAAAAGCTTGTTCATGCATTTCTCATGAACAATTGACATAAGCATGGCAAACGCGTAACTCGTGTAACAATACAACACGAGTTTCCTCCTAATAAATCACTAGTTGTAAAAAAGGAGAAAGCGACGTTTAATACGAGACTGTTACATCATTTATTATCGTGCAAACAACGAAATAATAAAGGTGGGCTCGCGCGCGCTCCGTGTGCGGAGATTTATTATTATTATTATTTATTCTCCGTTGCGCGACAGCTGCAAAGTTGACGTGGAACCAGAGCCAAAATATTTGAAACAATTAATAACTATGAACTCTAATTAGCTGCCTCGCATCTACGACATGATTGGTCGGAATGCGACGGAAACGCTACCGGGTGACCGAATTAACAGCTATATCGGCAAACGGACAACAGGTGTCACATGAATTTAGTTGGCAAATCCTCCGACGCCCGCTCGATTTAACTCCGAATATATTCTTCGTTCCTCTTTTTTTTTTCATTGCCGGGAACGAATTTCCCCAAGTAGCTCAAATCTTCGTTCGCGTATATCGGCACTTTACTGGTTGAGAAACATAAATTGCAACTAATTGAAGTGTCACACTGCACAATGTTGAATCGATGGTCGCAATATTAAATTTAAAAAATTATGTACTAATACGAATCTATTAATTTTATTACTACGTTGCTCTTTTTATGCTTGAAATCTTCATATACTCCGGGAAAATAATGACCACGTCATATGTAACTTGAACCAGAGCGTTTTAGCATCGTTATATTATCAAGTATAAAAATTGATGCGATACCAACGTAGAATTGTCGCCGAAACTACTTTAGTTGCTGTTCGAAACCGATCACGGGAGAGTTCGACGATTAGGAAACTTCAGCTCGGCGAAACGCCGAAACCGGATACTACGCCGCGACGCTGTACTCACCGATGTCGAATCCATTCGCGGCGTCGCCCTGCGGGGCCAATGGGAAGCGATAACGGTGCTCGTTCGCCTCCAAATGCCGGATGCAGCCCTTAAATCCGGTCCTCACCGGAAGTCGCTCCAAACCGGTCGTGTTTCCGGGTCCGCCGACGAAGAGCGGCTCGCGGAACGTAATTCTCGAGAACAAGCCCTGCAATTGAAGTCGGAATTCTCTAGTTATACATATGTAGTTGCAGTGTAACGCACGAACCGGGCGCAATTGCATGGCTGCCTGATTAATGCATGAAATTATTCCATTTGGCGTACAAGCCTAGGCGCTATTTCCCCATTTCTTTGTATACGCATTTTTGCAACTTTTGACAACAGTAATAACATTATAGTATGAAAGTCATCTCTACGAGTTATGTTAATTATATTTAAGTGTATTTCATAGACGAAAAATAATTCGACTATGAATAACTGTTATTTCTCGTAGAGAAATGATGCCAATGGAATTCATTAATGTTGCATTAATTGATATGACGATACAAAATTAAAATATCAAGATGCTTGTGACAAGTTTGTCTCTCGCAAAAGGTCCTTAATCAAATTGCTACAACGTGAATCTAAAAGCGTTAATTATGAAGCGAATTAAAATTTTAATTAAAACGAATTAATTTTTAATTAAATTAAAAATTAAAGTCGGTATCTACGGTGGAGCAATAATGTGAAAAGAAGCAGTAATATCACAATAGGACGTGAAATAGAAAATTTTTTCGTGTCTTTCACATCCGTGCTATTTTCGCATCGCACCCGTTTCTCACATTCTCTCGTATCGGACGACAAACTATGCCCATTGTCATACACGGCGTCGTTTTTATCGTGCACTTTATATTCGAACGTACGTGTCTCGCGCGATCAGAGGCTATCATCGCTTCTCGAATTCCATTCTTAAAAGAAATTCCTCAAATCGGATGAGAGAAGATCACGGCGCGCGATCGCGAGGGCTTTGGTAACCAGTTTCGCTTTAGCTTCTTGCTCGTTTTTCCAACGAGAAGAGAATGTGGCGAGGTAAAAAAAAAGAGGGACAGAGAGCGTGGGAGGGGGAGAAAGAGAAAGAGCCGGCGAGAACAGAAGAAGACAGCGGAGAGGTCAGGGATGGCTTCTCTAATTACGACGCTGTCGTTAGAACACCGAGTGCTTAATGGCACTCTAGGATAAAGTGGGCTTGAAACGCGAAGCCATTTGCCGGCGATGCTGCCCGATTTTAAAGGTAATTAAACCTAGCCTGGGAAAAACAGATGGGTCGAGAACCAACCGATAATTCCTCGTTATCATACCGCTATTCTGGACGCCCGAGAGACTCGTTGAAGAAAGAGGATTGATAGAAAAAGTAGATGAGACATTTATCGACGGCACTTGCTCTCTTAACATTCAATGTTCAGTCATTCATTATCGAACTCGTTTAACTCGAATATGTTTATCATACGCGGATGTTCACATTTAAACCATAATTTTCTAGAGGAATCTTAGTGTTTTAATCTGTTTCGTAAAGCGCGTCAGAAATTACGCAGCGGTCAGAAACGCGCAAGATGCAAAAATGTGAGAATCATTTAAGAAGGTCCAAATTGACAAGAACTTTATAAATTAGTAATCTATTCGTTATCCCCGCGGTGTGAAAACATTTTGTGAGTGTCAGTTACCCTCCTGATCCTTCGTTCCCGGCGCCGCATCTCATTTGCAAAATAACAAGGCAAATGGGCGTCGTGGAAGAAGCGATGCAAACCAAATTAAGAAAAAAAGAGCAAGAAGTGCGTAGCGAGCGTCGAATACAATTAAAGCAAGGAACGGGCTAGTTAACAATAAGATTCGTGTATTTCGTTCGCCAAACAACTATGGAAGCCTCATGCGTCAAACAACATTATACGGCGTTTGCATCAGAAAGGAGTTGCATTATTCTGTGGCACGCTGATGCATCGTAAATTAAATCACTGACTCTTAATTAAGCACGATTTGCAGACTTTAAAGATACGGAAGTTCGTAACCAGAGTGAAACCGATCTGTTTCCATTTTGATTGTTAAAACTAATTAAACTAGTACAACATACTTGTATGCAGCATGCGGTTCAGGAGATTAAATATATATTAATCAACAATCAATTCTGACGTATTGCAAACGAAAATCGATACAT